CTTTTCACAAAGATGGCCTCCTTTACTCCTCTCTCAAACCATCGTTCCTCTCTATCCAGGATGTGAACATCTTCATCCCTGAAAGAGTGACCTCTGACCTGGAGATGAGTGTAGACCACAGAGTCCTGGCCTGATTATATTGATCTTCTGTGCTGGGCCATCCTTTTGGCCAGTGGCTGTTTTGTTTCCCCGATGTTGTAGAGGTTGGCTCCTCTACCCCTCCTTTCTCTGTTGTTTGTGTTCTTCTAATTATCTTTCCACAGCTGCTGCTCATTACCTGGACCAGGAGGAGGAGCTATTTAATCTGGAGCCTCACTTCAGATCAGTGCCAGAGCAAAGTTCTACCAAGCTCCATGTTCCTGTGACTACTGGCTGGCTGACTTCAAGCTCCTTATCGGTCTCCCTGCATGCCAGCAGCGTTTCTCCTCCTCCACCTTCACTCCTGTGTGCCTCACCTGGTTCCTGGTTCCTCCTCACCTCCACCCCGGCTCCCTTGGTGATTTTTGTAAATACACTTGTAAATATACTCACCTGATCCCACCGTGGATTGTTGGATTCGGATCCTGTCTCCTGTTCTCATGCTCCTGGAACAACAACGACAAGTAAGCTTATTTTTGGATTACTATCAACATTTCCAAAATCTCCTCAAGACGATTTGTCGTTCACCACCAATCTCCTCTCTATTCCCACAGTGGATCCATCCTGAGTTTGAGTTCACCAGATACACCTGAACCAAATAAATAATATTGTTTTTTACCTCAAGTTGTTTAGTCCTTGCTTCAAACCGTTCGCCTTTGACATCACCTACAGCCCCTAACAGATGTAAGACTGATCACCCTCCTGACACTGAACAGCATACACAACATTACTCTGTTTGTGCCGGGGGACTGGATCTTTGGGATGAACCAGTCTTTAATGTATTTTGGGGTTTAAAAGCCACTGGGACGTTATGTTTAGAAAATAAACGTCTCAGTTTCTCTGATACTCCCTCAACATATGGAATGACCACTGGTCTGGGTCTGGGTTCCTCCTTTTCACCTGTTGGCTGACTGGAGTCCTGTTTGGGTTTCTTCTCTGCTTTCAGGAAGGCCCAGTTAGGATATCCACATTACTCTAGATCCTGTCTTGTTGGGATTTCTCCTTCTGCCTGGCTCCTGAGCTAGTGGGGACGCTGTCTGCTCTGTGGTACAATTCAATTCAGTTTATTTATAAAGCACCAAATCATAACAAAGTTGTCTCAGGGCACTTTACAGGAACATTCACAGAAAAGACAATTAGTAAAGTTCTCTATCTGAGGAATCCAGCAGACAAGTTGAATCTTGGCTTCGTTGCAGTCTCCCATCCTGAGCAAGCACAGTGGAGACAGTGGAAAGAAAAACTCCCTTTTAACAGGAAGAAACCTCCAGCAGAACCAGGATCAGGACAAGCGGCCATCTGCTTTGACCGGCTGGTTGAGAGGACAGGAAGGAGAGACAGACGAACACAGAATGGTAGGTCCAGGTATAGGTCCAGGTGTACCAGAAATACAAAAAAACACATGTTAAGGACAGAAAAAATAATTACAAATACAAAACAGGTTGAGCAGAGTAAGTAAAGACTGTAGCAGAGTGAAAAGTGTGGTCAGTTTGTCCTCCAGCAGTCTAAGTCTATAGCAGCATAACTAAAGGACAGCTCAGGAAACCCAAGCCGACTCTAACTATAAGATTTATCAAAAAGGAAAGTCTTAAGCCTAGTTTTAAAACTGGATAATGTGTCAGCCTCACGGACAGAGATTGCACAGTGATCACTGGACATGGGCACTGGTGACCCCCATGACCCAAAATGGAAGAAGCAGGTAAAAGATAATGGATGGATTTATGTTTCTGTTCAGTGCCCTGAGACGACTTCTGTTGTGAGTTGGCGCTATATAAATAAATTGAATTGAAGTGTATTGAATTCTTCCTTCTTCCACAATTTAGTGGTCTTCTCTGATTTTACTCTTTTTCTCTTCTTCACAACAAGTCATTCTACGTAACCATCTGATGCTGTCTGGACACACTCTACCCTGCCACAACCTTACAGTCTCCAATCTCCCTCAGGTTTCCTCTTCTACACAGAATGTAGTCGACTTGCGTACTCCTTCCTCCATTCTTACATGTCACTCTATGTTCTTCCGTCTTTTGGAATTCGGCTAGACTGGACTATTGCAATGGTTTATTATCTGGATGTACAAATACTTCTTTAAAACGTCTTCAGTTGATCCAAAATGCTGCTGCCAGAGTCTTAACTGGTGTTACTGGGATAGATCATATTTCTCCAGTTTTAGTTTCTCTACACTGGCTCCCTGTCAAATCCAGAGTTGAATTCAAAAACCTACTTATAACTTACAAAGCTCTTAACAACCTATCTTATTGTTCCATATTTTCTCAACAGAGCACTTCACTCTGACTGCAGATTTAATTGTGGTTCCTAGAACAAAGTCCATGCTCAATAATCCAGGTATCCAATCCAACATTTTTCAGTCAGGTCATCTGGACAGTTTCTTTTTTTGTGCTGAAACGTTTCGCCTTCGATCCGGAAGGCTTCATCAGTCAAGGAAACACACAACAAAACTGATGAAGCCTTCTGGATCCAAGGCGAAAAGAAACTGTCCAGATGGAAAAATTGTTTTTCAAATTTATTTTGTATTTAGTGGGCGCAGCTTATATTCGGGTGAGCTCAATTGTCTGGAAATTACGGTATATATACATA